CACATATATATGTGAAAAGAGAAGAGGAAAAGATTAGGAAACAAATAAAAGAAATATAAAACAAACAACAAGAAAAAAATCCCAATAATGAAAAAAATTCAAAAGCAACATTAAATAAGTGTAAGAATAGTCATAGAAATATGAGTATTTGAGAAAAGACCAGCAAGCTAAAGTGAAAATATTCAATATACATAGGGCGGAAAAATGAGGAAACACAAAATAAAAAACAATCACCCAACTAACCAACCAACCAACTAACCACTAGCCAACCAATCAGTCAGTCAACCATCCAGCCAACTAACGAGCCAAACAAACAAATGAAAAACAGAAAGGATAAAGAAATGAATAGAAAGGGAAAATATTGCCCAATAATGAAAATATTATGAAAACAAATTTAATAATGCATTGGTGGGAATAAGAAATAAAGCCACAGAATATGTAAATAAAACAATAAAGTAACAAAAGTGCAGTAACTTGGGTGTATTTCACAAGAGTCTTATGCATCCCAGATTTTTGTTCGTCTTAGTACCTTTCCTTTCCTTCTTTACTGACCAGGTGCCTCTGCTGTCTACAGCTAACGGTGCATTCTGTTGGCTGGGAAGGTATTCTTAAGCTCCAGAGACTTTGTATCCCCTTTGGGTAGCTAATGTTTTAACTGTCGATGTGTCCCAAATACCTAGGGAGTGTGGGAAGGAGCTACGGCACTGAGATTAATACAGGGATGAATGATCTGTATTTGTAGCTTCAAGATGCCCCAAATATTAATCATCCTGTTGGAAGAATGCAGTTGTGGGTATCATGCATGTTCCTGGAACTTAGATATCAGGCTCTACAGCCATAAGCATCAGGTATACGGCTCTAGAGTTTGATCTAACCAGTAGCCTGAGCTTCAGAACTATCAAACTCCAAGGGTTCATCTCAGTAGACTCTGTTCTTCTTTGCCAAGGTTGGTGCTATCTCTCCCTTTGTACTTCCCAGTCTATACTGAGCCTCTTTTCACCCACCATCCTCAGCTTGTAGCATCCATATACCCTGCTCTCCACAACTGCCCATTGGTCTTTCCATTCCCTGAGGAGTGGTGGCAGCCAAGCTGAGGCATCCAAACCTGTGGTTGTTTCCTATTCTCAGGCCCCCAGAGTAACTCAGTTTGAAAAAATAGGTTTCCTCTCAAGATGGTGGTAAGTTGGTGCCCTCTGAAACATATAGAGTGGCAAAGTGGGATTTCTCTCCACCCATCTGCTGGAGGAAGCAAAACCCATAACTGGGTTTGAGGGTTTTTTGTTTTTTGTCTTTAAAAAATTCTTTGGGAATTTTATACAAAGTATTTTCATCATATTTATCCCTCCCTCATACTCTCCCAGATTAATCACCCTTCCCTACCCCTGACTTTGTGTCCTCATGTTTTAAACCCATGGAGTCCAATTTGTGCTCTTGGATGTGTGGTCATCCACTGGAGCATGGTTGATCTACCAGGAGCCACACTCTTAAAGAAAACTAATTCTCCCTCTCCCAGCAGCTATCAATTGCCAATAACTTCTCAGTTTTGGTTGGGACATCTTGCCCTCCCCTCCCTGCACCATACTGAGATTTTGTATGGCTTGAGCTTGTGCTGACTTGTGAATGCGGTCACAAATGCTATGGGCTCATATGTGCAACTGCCCTGTTATGTCCAGAAAACACTGTTTCCTTGTAGTCATCCACTGCCTCTTCTTGCCCCACAATGATCCCTGGCCTTGGATGTGTGTATGCGTGTGTGTGTGTGTGTGTGTGTGTGTTTGTAATACAGATGTAAGTTTCCAGGTTTTGAAGGCTGTGTGTCTATCCTGAAGGTAAGACTACTGGTACTGGTCTCTCTCCTGGCCTACCTCTTGGAAGTGGGCTGTGCTTTCTCTCTCCCTGTAAGGGAATCTCATGGTAAAGCTGTGTTTGTACTGCTTCTTTCTGTTGTGTTGCCCATCTTTTTTTCTTTAGACTTTTTCAACTGTTTTTTTCATTTTTTCTTTGGATTTCAGAAGTCCTTCCTTCCTTCCTTCCTTCCTTCCTTCCTTCCTTCCTTCCTTCCTTCATTCCTTTCCTCCTCCTCCTCCTCCTCCTCCTCCTCCTCCTCCTCCTCCTTCAACAGGTCTTGCTATAGCCCAGGCTGGCCTGGAACTCATGATGTAGCCAAGACTGGTTTCAAATTCATGGCAATTCTCCTGCCTCAGCCTACTGGGTGTCCTTCCTCCTCCTCCTCCTCCTTCTCTCTCTCTCTCTCTTTCTCTTTTTGGTCTAGATTCTATTATTTTCTTGTTTTGAGTCTCTCTCTAACCCACACAGAAGCAGCTCTACCCTACCATCTTACCAGAAAGTTCTGAATGAAATCTATAACACAGGATGCATTTTACATTTAGAACACACATCAATTTCGTCAACCGCATATGGCTAGAGGTCGTCATCATAAATAACAAAGATATATAGACTAAGAGGAAACAATACAATCCAATGAATTAAATAAGAGTTTGGAAATTATTTTCTTTCTACAGCTATTTTCTAGACCATTGAATTTTTACAGATTGCTTTCTTCTGCTTGTTCCTCCTCTGTTGCCTTCTAGCTGATGTTCTACATGAAGTCACTCAAGTTTGAAACACATGATGGAAAGAAAATAGAAATAGATGATAATGGAGATGTGAAAAGTGGACATTATGATATTCTAAATTGGCAATTAGATGACAATGGAGAAATTTCCTTTGCAACGGTTGGAAAATATACTTTCCGAAATTCTATGTTTGAGCTCATTCTCCCAAAGAATTCTACAATATTTTGGAACACTGAATCATCAAGGGTTAGTTGCTCTGCTGTGCTATTTTGTTTATATTTATTTATAGAAGTGCATTTTTATATATTTGGATTAAAATTTTTTATTTATTATTTCTATTATTTTACATGTATGAATATATTGCCTTCATATACGTAAGTGCACCTGTGTTATGCAATGCCTGTGGAGGCCGGAAGAGGTCCTTGGATCTCTAGTTTGGGAATTGAACCCAGGTCCTCCGCAAGAGCAGCCGGTATTCTTAACTGCTGAGCCATCTCTTCAGCCCTTGCATATAATTTAGATACCAGTGAAATGTAAAACACCTGGAACTTTTTTCCAAATTATAAATCAATTTTCCTGACTATAGTACATTAAAAATATATAAAGATTCAGATTTTTAATTTTTGCAACATTTTCTTGGAATTAAGGATTAAATATTAGCTTCATTTTGTTTTTTGTCTTCTCTCCAGTCACATGTTTGACTTCCTTCGTGTTTTCTTTCCTTTCTCTGTATGCGTGGTGGTGTTTGTTTGTGTACGTGTGTATGTTGTATGTGTGTGGGTCATATGCATCTGTGCCTGTGAGCATCTGTGCACATGCATATAGAGGCCAGAGGTCAGTGTTGGGTGTCTTCCTCAGTTCCTATGCTACTTTCTTGAGACAGTATCTCTCACAGAACTTGGAGTGCTCCGATTCAGCTAGGCTAGCTGACCAGTGAGCTCTAGGTATCTGCCTGTCTCTGCCTCTCCAGTCCTGAGGTTACAGATGCATGTCACCATGCCCAGCTTTTATGTGAGTACTTAGGATCTGAACTCATGTCCTCATGCTTGGTTGGCAAGTACTTACTGACTGAGCCATCTCCCTAGCCCTTTTTTGTGTTTTTTTTTACATTTAATCCATGCCCTCAGTGGCTTTGTCTTTTTCTTTATCTGATTCCTGTTTTCTTCGTTATTTTTCTGCCTTTGATCAACGGCTCTCTTAAAAATTTTATTGGAATATATTCTTTTAAAAAAATTTATTGAATTTTTGTGGACTTCATACATTTTAGTCCACCCTTACCTATCTGTGCCCTGTCCCCATAGCCTGCCCACAGGACTTCATGTATTTTGTCAGACAGGTCATATATTTTGGCTTATTGAGTCAAGCTTGTGTACCCAGATGTCTGGTGCAAGTTCATCCAAGTTCAGCCTATCTAGTGTCATTCCCTTAAAGAAGACCAACTCTCCCTCACTCAGCAATTATCAGCTGCCAATAGTTTCCCAGCTAAGGCTGAGATCTCCTTCCCATTTCTCTAGTTTTATGTTGGGTCTCCCTGTAGCTCTGGAATTTCCTATGTAGACCAGGCCTTTGAGTGCTGGGACTAAAGGCATGTGCTACCGCACCCTGATGAACTTCAAATTTTTATTAGCAAAAACAAACAAACCTGAGTAAAAAAATGAATATTAACCTAAATAAACAATTCCCAAAAAACCCCATACAAATAATCAAATGGTATGTGAAAAAATGCTCACTATCACCAATTATCAGGGATATACAAATCAAAACCCCAATCAGGTATCACCTTACTTTAGCAAGAATGGCTACTATCAAAACAACAAAACATTGGCTCCAGGATCCCAGCCCAAGTGGCCTCCTGCACCAGGTGAAGACCTTCAGCTTCCCCTACTTAGGCTAGCTTAGGAAGCTTGGAAACCTCACACCAGGTCCCTGGTCTTATGGCCTCCTACACCAGGCCCACCCACCATATCAGGGAATTTTGCTCCAGAAGCCTAGCCCCATAGCTCTCTATGCCAAATAAAGGACCCTGGCTTCCCCTACTTAGGCTCACCTACACTGCCCAGGAAACTTGCTCCAGGTGCCTGGCCTTCACAGCCTCCTGTGGCAGGCCTACCTACACTGTCCATTGGAACCTCCTTCTCAGGACCACAAAGTAGATGACTCTAAGAGGAAGACTAGGGATAAAACCTGTGACCCTCAATGCCAGTCCCATAGAGAAAATGACATCTTAACCCTATTAAAACTTAGTCCCCTGCTGAACATTGCAAATGATTCCAATGAATAAAAAGCGGTAACTTGATGAAAGAAAGACTCACTCAACAAAGAAACTATTCCAGATGCACAAGTCCCAGTACAGATACAAAAACACAGGAAAAACCAAGACAACATGTCTCCTCCAAAAATTGCTAGTCACATAACAATACAATGAGAATGAACTGGAAGAATTAAAAAAATGGTTATAACTATATTCAAGCAACTCAAAAAATACAAATATACATTAAGAAAGCAAAAGAGAGCTGTGTAAAATAAGGAAGAAGGCACAAGATATGAAAACAGAATTCAATAAAAAGATAGAGCTACTGAAGAAAAAAGACCCCAAATTTTTAAGTTCATTATATATTCTAGATATTAATGCTATCAGATGTATATTTTGCAAATATTTTCTTGCATTTTGTAGGAGGTCTCTTTACTCTGTTTGCTATACTGTGCAGAATTTTAAAATAAAATCTTTTATTTATTCTTTGATAATTTTATACATGTATACAATGTATTTAGATCAAATCTACCCCAAATCCACTCCTCCTACTCTCCTTGGACACTCCCCAACATGTCCTCCTCCCACATTCACGTCCTCTCCTTTCTTTGTAAATCACTGAATTCAATTAGTGCTGCCTGGTGGAATACTGACTGACCGTATTGGACTGATCTTGTGCAGGTAACCATAACATGCAAGAGGGTTTTAGTTTGCTATTATTCCTTCTGCACAGTTTTGCTTTTGCTTTTTGTACTTTTCAAAAAAAGTCCCTGCCTATTACAATGTCATCGAGCAGTTCTCATGTATTTTCTTCTAACAGGTTTATAGTTTCAAACTTACATTCAAACTTTGAATCCATTTTAGGTTGATTCTTTAAAATTTTTTTTGATTTATTTATTTTTATTTTATGTGTAGGAGTGTTTTGCCTTCATATGCGTAAGTGCACCCGTGTCAAGCAATGCATGCAGAAGCCAGAAGAGGGCATCGGCTCTCCTGGAACTGGAGTTACAGATGGGTGTTAGCTGCCATGTGGATGCCGGGAATTGAACCTGGGTCCTCTGGAAAAGCAGCCGGTGCTCTTAACCTCTGAGCCATCTGTCCAGCTCCTTAGGTTGATTATTTTTTTTTTTTTTTATTTTTTGTCTTTTTGAGACAGGGTCTCCCTGTAACTTCAGCTGGCTTGGAACATGCTATGTAGACCAGTCTGGCCTTGAATTCACAAAGGTCTGCCTCCCTTTGCCTCCCGAGAGCTGGGATTAAAGCACCACGATGCCTGGTACTAAGTTGATTCTTGTTGGTCTGGGTTTATTCTTCTGCATGTGGGTATTTGATTTTACCAGCACCATTTATTAAAGGCTGTTTTTCTTCAATGAATATTCTTAGCACTTTTCCTGAAAATTAGTTGACTACACATGCAGGTGTTTATTTCTAGCTTTCTATTATACTGCATTGGTGTATGTGTCTTATTTTTATGCCCATGCCATCCTGTTTTGAGTCTTACTATGTTAATGGTTGATTACTCCAATAACATTTGTGCCACCATCACACTAGTGGCACAGCCCTTAATTTCCAAATTTGTGATTCAGTATAATTTTGCATATCCCTAAGTACTTTTCTTTGAGAAAATACAGTTTTAATTGTATTTTAAGTCCTGTGTTATGGTAGTATTGTTCTTTTCAATGGTAGTGGTTTATTTTGGAGGGGTATTTAAAAAATATTTTATTTTATGTGTGTGAGTGTACTGCCTGCATGCATGTAAGTGCACTCGTGTTGTGCAATGCCCATGAAGGTCAAAGCGTTTGTCAGATCCCCTGGAACTGGAGTTAGGGATGGTTGTTAGCCTCCATGTAGGTACTGGGAATCAAACCTGGGTCCTCTGCAAGAGCAGCCAGTGCTCTTAACCACTGAGCCATTTCTCCAGCTCCTTGGAGGGGAATTTTAATCTGCAACGTTTTTATTTTTCATTTCTTTTATTTTCCATGTGAATGTCAAATGGAAGGATGGGAAAAGTTATAGAAAGATGAAGGTGGCCAGAGGACATTACATTACTGCTTTGGGACTTTTTTCTTTTCTTTTGACGTGGGTGGGAAGTCAGGGAGGAGTTTTCCTATCCCACCTACTTGCAACTTTTCTCTTGGGAGCTGCTGTGTCTAATCTAGTAGCCCCTAAACACAATTAGCTTCAAAAACTAAATTAATTGCAATTGGGCTATAGAGTGCTTGCTTAATATGCTCGAGATCCAGAGTTTGACCCCAGCATCACATGCACACAAAAGTAATTAAATTAACATTAAGGTACAAAACTTGGTTCCTCAGCCATATGACCTGTGTCAAGGGCTCATTAGCCACATGTAGCCAGGGACTTCCATATAGGACAACACAGATCTGTGACACTTCTATCATTGCAGAAAAGACAGGGCTGCCCTAAGCCTGAGGATATAACATCCCCTGTGCCTTCAAGCCCACTCCCTGGATGATGAGTTACTTCATAGATGAGTCTTGATGCTTTCCTTTCATATTTCTTGAGCTAGGTGTTCAGTGAACTGTTTTTCATGAAAAAAGGAAAGGTTGTGTGTCCAAAATAGGTTTGTAGGATCATTCTACTAAAATTGATAGAAAATAGTAAAATTTAAAAAAAATTCTGTTTTAAAAATTTATTTAGATAGAGTCTCCCTGTAGCCCCAGCTGGCCTGGAACTCACTATGTAAACCAGGCTGGCATCTGTCTGCCTCTGCCTCTTGAGTACTGGGATTAGAAACATGTGCCACCGGGGCTGGAGAGATGGCTTAGCAGTTAAGAGCACTTACTGCTCTTGCAGAGGACATGAGTTTGATTCCCAGCACCCACATGGCAGCTGCAAACCATCTTTAGCTCCAGTTCCAGGAGAATTCGATGCCCTCTTCTGACCTCCATGGCATTGCATGACACGGGTGCACTCACATACATGCAGGCAATACACTTAAACACATAAAAAACAAAAATAATAAAAAATATAAAAATGTGCCTCCATGACTTGTTTAAGAATTTATTTTTATTTTATGTGTATCAGTGTTTTGCCTGCGTGTAATGGAATGTCTATGGAGGTCCAAGAGGGCGTTGGATCCCCTGGAACTGGATCTATGGACAGTTGTTAGCCACCATGTGGGTGCTGGGTCCTCTGTAAGAGCAGTCAGTGCTCTTAACCAAATTAACTGAGCCATCTCCCAGCCCAAATTTAATAGTATATTTCTCTTTTAATAATATTTCAATAGAGTATAGTCATCCTAATTTTCTTCTGTAGAAAGATTGGTATTATATTTGTATAATGGAGTTACTTCAAATGAAATTCAATACAAATTTAATAAGCATTTACTAATAGTACCAGCAATATATATTTCATGTTTTAGTGATGGAAAGTTTTATAGTTTACATTTTTTTGAGACATGGTCTCAGTATTAGTTCAGGCTGATCTCAAACTGTAGCTGCCTGGCCTCAGCCTCTTAATTCTGATATTATATGCATTTATTACCACATCTGGCTCAGAAAAGGTATTTTATCTGCCCTTTAAGAAACTCTTCCCATCCCTGACTGAGATATAAACTGACCTACAAACACTTCATTTATTTTGGACTTCAAATTACACATCCATGTAGAATATAAAATATAAAAGGAAGCCTGTGTTTGCTACTGAAGTTTCTAAACTTAGCAAGAAAATGTTCCTGGGCTTTCCCTCCTCTACAACTTCTTTATGCCTTCAATTTTTCCAGTGAAGTAGCCCTTTTGTTTTTCTTCTTTCTACTGGCCAGTCATGACAGATGTTTGACTGCAGTATGATGCTGGGATGGCTTTGCTGAGAAGAAATATTTTTTAGGTTCTCAAGATGATTATCAAGATCACATGTACCACCAAAACAGAAACAGACTTAGCAAACTGTCCCATCCTCAGAGTCTCATAGGACATAAAGTATGTTTGAATCGCTAAAATTAAAAAGAACTATCTTTAGAGTTAGTTTGGCATTTCTGGAGTAAATCACAAGATCGTTCTTTAGTAAGAGTTCTTTCTAGATCCTCCATATTGTCATGTCTGGCTGTTATCTTTGGTATCCTGGGTTCATCTCCCTTTAAATAGGAAAGTCTCCATGGAAAGGCAGATGACAACTTTCTCAGTTTCACAAGTGGGAAAGACATAATGTTTTGTTCTATGCGTTGCATTTGTCTTTGCTAGCTTCCCCATTCAGTCTGTACGGATGTGTGTCCTCCAGGGACCAGGAAGGGGATTCGTCAGGGGGAACCAATATGCTGCTTTGACTGCATCCCATGTGCTGATGGCTATGTGTCGGAGACACCAGGTAGAGATGGTCATTTTCTCACTGATAATAAAAATGCAATTAGACTAAATGCATGTTGGCAAAAAGGTCTTTGGAAACCTTAATAAAAGATGTGAACAATGTATAACGTAAATCATTAAATGTTATTGAACATTCTGTGCAGTATGAGTAAAAGGCAATATTAGCTTTAACTCTAAAACTGCTACAGTTGGAAAAGATCTATAACCATGAAGTTAATGAGAAAAATATCAAACCAAATAAATGAAATATGAGATAAGAATAAATTCATGTTTTCAAATTACTTGTTTTTGAAATAGATTGAAGATTAGTTATGCTTATAACTGGAGAAAAAGAGGCTTAGAGTTCTGTGTTTTACTGAACTATTTCAACTTTAGAATATAAGATCTGAAATGCCATCCAGTTGGTTTAAGGGTCTAAGTACAGGCATTGCACAGCTAGCACAGGATGAATTATTCACTGCAGCGGGCTGAATCGCTGCTCTTAGAGCTGAATTTTAGGCATGTTTTGTTCCTTTGGTTTTGTGAAACATGTTGGAGCAGGCTTACTTTTATTTTTAGTTTCTATTAAAGGTGACACAATTGTATGTGACTTTTGTCAAATGGCCCATAAGAGCAATTCATTGGGTTCAAAGGAAAATGAGAACACTGTAACCTGAACCGATCCCTGGCATCAGGTCACCGAGTCTCAGCATAGAATTCCAGCCAGAGAAATTCAGTTCAGCAATCAGAGTGCCTACGAGTAAATTCCAGTCTTTACCTGAATCTTGGAATGAACATTACAGAGATCATTCCACCATCTTCCATAAACTCACCTCAAGTAGCTGTTTCTTGTTTGCCTATATTGTCCCTTCACACCTCCATCCACATGGACGCCCGGTTCTCCGTCTCAGGGAGCGTGCTTGCTGGCTTCGCTTCCCTTCCTGTCCTTAGTCCTTCTCAGCCCACTCAAATCTGGTGAGGAGATCTGAGCAGACAGAAAATCCTCTCCTGAAAGGGGAAGTAGGATGGGAGACTGAGCACACTAGGGCTTTAGCCAGCCTTGCCCCAGTCACAGCCCTCCTGACTGTTTCACCTTCTACAGAAGCTGCAGCTTTCTCGTTCATGGATTGTTCTGGGTTTATAAGGACACACACCTCCTTCCTCAAGAGAGGAAAGAGAATTGTGTCACTGAAAAGACTAATTCAAGAAAGGCCGAGATCGAAAGACTAAATTCTAAAGTTGAGAATCACTCTCAATCTGTAACTGCATCTGCACGTTCTATCACTGCCACTTTGGGCATATTATATAGAGTCTCTGTATAAAGATTTCCAGTAAACCTTGCTCTAGGACTTTTACAGTTCTGTGCCGTTCACAATTGAAGGGAACAACTGGATTCCCTTGCAGTCAATTCTCCGTTCTGTCTCCCTAGGCCAAAGGGAATGTGATAAATGTGGTGAAGACTTCTGGTCCAATGCACAGAAGAACAAATGTGTGCTGAAGGAAGTGGAATTCCTTGCTTACGAGGAGGCCCTGGGATTCACCCTCGTCATCCTCTCCGTCTTTGGGGCACTTGTGGTCTTGGCAGTGACAGTTGTCTATGTGATCTACAGGCACACTCCGCTGGTGAAGGCCAACGACCGCGAGCTGAGCTTTCTCATTCAGCTGTCTCTTGTCACCACGGTGCTGTCGTCCATGCTTTTCATCGGCAAGCCGTGCGACTGGTCCTGCATGGCCCGCCAGGTCACCCTGGCGCTGGGCTTTTGCCTTTGCCTATCTTCTATTCTTGGAAAGACTGTCTCACTGTTCTTTGCCTACAGAATCTCCGTATCCAAAACCCGGCTTACATCCATGTACCCCATTTTTCGAAAGCTCATTGTGCTGATCTCGGTTCTAAGTGAGACTGGTGTGTGTATAGCTTACTTGGTGCTGGAGCCCCCAAAGTTATACAAGAACATGGAATCTCAAAATATAAAGATCATCTTTGAATGCAATGAGGGTTCCATAGAATTTTTGTGCTCCATATTTGGGTTCGACGTCCTTCTGGCCTTTCTGTGTTTTCTTACAACCTTTGTGGCCCGCCAGTTGCCAGATAATTACTACGAAGGCAAATGCATCACTTTTGGGATGCTGGTCTTTTTCATTGTCTGGATCTCTTTTGTCCCTGCTTACCTGAGCACCAAAGGCAAATTCAAAGCGGCTGTGGAAATCTTTGCCATTTTGGCATCCAGCTATGGCTTGTTAGGCTGTATATTTGCTCCCAAGTGCTTCATTATTTTGCTGAGACCAAAGAGGAACACGGATGAAACTGTGGGTGGAAGGGTCCCCACTGTGGACAGGAGCATCCAGCTGACTTCAGCGTCTATGAGCAGTGAGCTTAACATCACCACAGTGTCCACTGTTCTGGATGGGTAGAGAAGTGAGTTCCATGGGTCCTTCAAAGTTGGAACAATGACCTGGTTCACCCTTCCCTGTTAGGTTGCCCCTGAAGGAGCTGCCTGATGTTCTGGGGCAATATTGAGATTTGGGGTCTAGCAGTATAGCCTTATCATGCCATATGAAATCTTATTTTGAAATATGCCCTTTAGTTTGGAATAGACTACCACTTACGATGGAAACTGGAAATTATTTCATTAGAATTTTAGAGAACCGGGTATAATAAACATAATTTATGTAAAATGACAGCAAAAGTGACTCACGAATTTTTTTTTTTTTCGTCTTTTTGAGACAGGGTCTCCCTGTAGCCCCAGCTGTCCTGGCACTCACTATGTAGACCAGGCTGGCCTTGAACTCACAGAGATCCTCCTGACTCTGCCTTCTGAGTGCTGGGATTAAAGGCGTGTGCCACCATGCCCGGCTTCATGAATGTTTTTATTATTAAGTATTAAGTGTCTTACCTAGATGTTTACATTAAACAAAAATGCATAGGAAGGACTGAGATATTTTACTTAGTCTGTTGATACCTCTCTGAAGTAGACAGTTCTCAGATGAAAACTTATAGCTCCTAAACATCCCTTGGAGCAGGGGCTTTAAATAATTCTTGGAAGATAATTTGTGCTTTAAAGAACTCTCCATATAAACAATATTGAGAGGGTTAAAATACTGACAAAACTCAGTTTCTTCTTAAATTATTAATTAGAACAGATGCTCTTCTGTGAGGGAAGGCATGGTCTACTTACTCCAGGCTTTCGTAGAGGGGAGTAAGTAGTAAAGTATCTGACTGGCAAATAAATACAAAGGGAACTGAGATGCTGGCATAGAAGTTAGATGAATTATATAGTAAAGATGTTTATATTAAACCTCAGTCAAATTCAGAAGTGATCACATTGTTGGAGAGCTAAGGTACACTAATTTTTCTGGACAGCTATTCATCTATCTTTCTCTCAAAACTTCCACAGTGCTCTGTACCATCACCCTTGGGATCATTAGATAAGTCTCTATCACAGTATGAAGAGGAAGGAAATTGCTTTCTTTGACCACTCATGGATCTATTTATTTGTTTAAGTTTTTGGCTCTTCATTCACACAGGTACTCTGGGAAAGAGAGGATGATTTTTTTTCAAACTATACAGCAATATGAAAAATGAAAATCCACAAGTCAGCTTCTTTTTCAGTTGGACACATAGGTTTGAGTATTCTCAGTGATCCATTTGGAAATTAAAAAATCTAGAAGATGATTTATATCTAAAGATGTGGTTTACTTTTATATTCAAAATATTTTGATCTTAGTGAAATCCATTTATTTTCTGAGACATTGAATACTGATCATATGTTCTCTAAAGTTAGTACAGATACACATCTGGTTAGTACCCAACTCCATTATCTTCTTCATACCATATCTCCCAGTAATACTTTCTTGTTAATTTTGTGTTCTTTAAAATTATTTTCTGATCAGCAATAGGTTCAGAAAATCACAGAATATGAAGTTTACAAAACAAAATATCAGTTGAACTTGCACATTTAGTGACAGTGCTTGTTTATGCAACTTTATAATTTAAGGTACAATGTTTATCTAAAACAATATAAGGTTATCTCCTGTTGATTTGGCACACACATATTCTTATATAACTGGCATATGACAGTTAAAATAAAAATACATAATTGTCAAAAATGATGATTTAACCAAGGGCTCAGGAACCATTGTGGAAGAAGGGGTGGAAAGACTGTAAGAGCCATGGATGGTGGATGATCACAAGAAAACAGTTTTCCAGGCTTATGGGAACTTGCTCAGCAAGGATGACAGCATGCACAAGACCCATGGAGACTCAAATCAGAAAAAAAGCATAGAAGTGGGGGAAGTGGGTAAGAAACGCCAATTTTAGCTGAGGAGCTATTAACAACTGATCACTGGTGGGTGAGGGAGAGTCACTCTTCTTTAAGGGAATGATGCTAGTTAAGTTGAACAGGCTCCAGTGGATGAACTCACACTGACACACATCCAGGGATATAAACTTGACTCAGTAGTTCTTAACATATATGACAGAATTTATAAAATCCAGTAGGGATGCTATGGGGGGTTGTAGATAGGGGAGGGGGTCTAAATATGATTAAAATGTATTATATGAAATGCACAAAAATTCAATAAAAAAAGAAAAAAAGGACTGAAATGTTTTGGAGAATGACTCTACTTGGTACCAGGACTGCCCAGGCACCAACGTAAGATTTCACTACTTCATAGTTAGATGCCTCTCCCAGACCAGTGTTTAAAGCTGCAGAACTTGGCCCAGGCTTCCCTTTCTAGCCTTGTCTCCTACTAAGCTTTATCCCATACAAGCATCCGTGGCTTGTTTTATATCCTTTCTTATCTCTGGGCGTTTGTTCAAGCTGCCCTACTCCTGCAGAGAACATCCTGCTCTTCTCTTGACCCCAGTATATACCCATCAAATTCATTCTCTAATGGACAGATCCTTGGAGCTGAGCTGCCTAGAAAAGATACAGACCAGCCAAGCTGCCTGGAGTAAGCAAGACCAGTGAACTGCATAGAAGAGGCTCAGACCATCTGAACCACTTGAAAGATACTCTCCAACCAGTTGAGCTGCCTGTAAGTTGTGAAGTGAGCTCCAGGTTTCCTGCTTTCTTGAGCTGTCATGCATGCTGGGGTGGGCTTTGGTTATGCAGCTGTCTGTGAGTCATTTCTGCTCCTGTAAGTAACCCCTAACTCATATTCCTGTAAGTAACCCTAATAAAACTCATTGGTTTATCTAAAAAATGATGATTTAATTTGCAATGTTTTTTGTAATTATTACTTATCAAATATTAAAATATTTCTTGTAACACTGGAAACTATTTTGTCTTTGGGTGAATATGCTTCCTATATTTTGGGATGTTAGATCTTGAACTGAAAGTTACCCTGATGTGATAAAACTATGATTCTGAGAGCATAGAAAAGGCAGGATGAGTCAGGGTCAAGGAAAGCTTCCGGAATGAGCTGACACTGAGAAACAATTCTGAAGGACAAGAGAGAGCTCACATATGTGAAGAATGAACTAAGACATGTGTTCTACCTCATTTCTTGCTTATACCAAGGCAAGTGTGAGCATGACAGCTTCTCTTTTGTTATTAAAACTGCAGTATTGTAGGACTATGTGCTTCTTTTATTACTAGCCATTTGCTGCCCATATTGGGGTTATCTGCTTCCATTTCCTGCCATTATTGTTATATTACTTTATATTTTGTGAAGGGGATTTGAGATCTACCTATTACCTGTCTACCTCTGAATCTTTAGCCTTATAATCTAAAATATTCTTGGCTTTTAATTAGTGCTCAATTGTTATGGTAGTCAATTTTTAATGGATGTTAGTAAAGTTATCAAAATAGCTAACCATTTACCTTGCAAGACATAGAGCAATGTTTCAGTGTAAGGTGAGAAGGAAAGGTTTGGGGCTTGGCACAGAACAGGGGAGAAAGAAGGTGGAGGAAGCCTGTGGGGGAACCACAGTGCATTTCCAAGATCGCAAGGACAGGGAGAGCAGCATGCACTTCAGGTGCACAAGGGCGGCAAGAGTGGGACTGAAAATAAGGAGGTGGAAATGGTCTCCTACTTGATTAGCTTTTGGTTGGCATACAAAGAAACAGATGATATTGTGATGTTTTCATGCAAATACTTTATGCTTTGTTCTTTTTCACGCCCACTGCTCTCTCCCTTACCTCTCCTCCCTGCCTGACTCTTTCTTCCCCTCCAAATTGCACCCCCTTCTGCTTTAATGACAGGTGTATCCCATTCTCTCTCCAGTTCTCCTCTCCCCTCCTATAGACCTGTTCTTCTCTTCTCATAGATATCTTTTTACTTTCATGTCACACACACACACACACATGCACACACACATGCAGAAACACATGTAAGCACACACACATAAATTTAAATCTAGATTCTGTATATGAGAGAAAATGTGATATTTGTCTTCCTAAGTCTGGTTTATTTCACTTAACACAATGATCTCCAGTCCCACTCATTTTCCTACAAATGTCATAACTTTATTCTTGGTTATAGATGAATAAAATCCAATTGTGTACATGCACTACTTTGTTTGTTTAGACAAGATCTCATTATGTAGCTCTGACTGGCCCCTAACAGTGGTTCCCCTGCCTCATCCTGGGGTCAAAGATGTGCATCATCATGTCTGTCACCATATCTTCTTTCTCCATTAGTCTGTTGATAGGTATCAAGTCTGCTTCCATTTCCCAGCTATTTTAAATGGAGCAGCAATAACCATGGGCATGTAAGTATTTCTATGGTATACTGATTTAGAATCCTTCACGTATACTCAAAATGGTATAACTGGATCATATGATAGTTTTTTTTTGTAGTTTTTTTTTGAGACACCTCCAAACTGATTTTCATAGTGGTTGTACAAGTTTACGTGATCACCAGCAGTGTATAATGGTTCCTTTCTCCTCATCCTCACTAGCACTTGTTATCTTTTGTTTTCCAGATAGTCATTTTGGTTAGTGTGAAATAGAATCTAAAAGCAGATTCTGCCTCCTGAGTGCTGGGATTAAAGGTGTGCACCGCAACACCTGGCTTTCCATCTTAGTTTTTGAGCTGGTCTTTCACTGAACCTGGAGCTCACTGAATGCCTAGGCTGGCTGACCAATGAACTTTAGGCATCTGTCCAGTTGTCTTTTTCTTACTACACCCCTCCATCCTCAGGGATGGACTTATAGGAACCAGGCCTAGCTATTATGTGGGTGTTGGGGATCTAAACTTAGGTCCACATGCCTGTGCAGGAAATACTTTACTGACTGAGCCATCACCCCAGATCCTAGAGCAGTTTTAATTTGTATTAACCTGGTAGTTAAGGATGAAAAACACTTTTTCAACTATTTATTGACCATTTGTAATTTTTCCTTTGAGAATTTTCTATTCAGTTCATTAACTCATTTATTGATTGGAAGATTTGTGGAGTTCTTGGTGCT